GGGGGTCATCGCCTTTGAGGGGGGGTATTAAATATTTCCAGACCCTTTGGGGGGGGGGATTTTATGGTAGAATTTTGGAATACATCCACCCCCCAGTACACATACTTTATGACCGGTCCCTAAATCGGATAAAGATTCGTCCTGATTTACATAAACTTCAGCTTTGATTTTCTCGGAAATTTTTTTGTAGATCAACATTGAAATTTATAACTCAAAACTGGTGTGGCCTACAATTTTTTAAAATAATTGTAGGCCAGAAAAACCTTATTTCGCACCACAGTTGGGCAGTTGCCCTATAGTCTATACCTCCCCTCTCTCTGGTATTTAAGTATGTCACTCCTGGCAAGTTTTGTCCATTCACGTGAGTGACAAAACATTTCAAAATCGAACAAATATTTTAAACCAATCAAACCGGTGGAGGTGAAATAATAGACTTGGAAAGTTAGCCTGTGTAGAGTGTATTATATTAGTAGCTATACTCAGGAGTAGTAGATTCAGATTGATTGGTCATGGCTGAACTTCATTGATTCGGATTGGCTGGGCTGAACTTTCAAACAAACTTAGGATTTTGATAATCGAAATATATTTCCTGGACACTCATCGCCGTCGATGGATTTGACAAAGGATATTTCTTCTCCTCTATACAAATTTCATTTATAACACGGCGGAAATCACTTTGTCTTTCCAATCCCTTGAGATTGCTTGCACACCACCAATACTAAAATTCACAACATTAACATTTATTAATAAGCTTTGTATCAAACTTTAACATTTAATAAACTCTAAATTGCATTCAACCTAAACATCTTAATTAAACTAATCAACATTTATCATTTAATTTCTACGTTGTTTAATTAACAGTCCATAGAAACGTTTCAAATATGAAATATTTAACTATGTTAAATTAAGTAACTTATAGTGTCGATAAACTGTATAAATAGTTCTATTATATTTATAAATGTTGCAATCTTGAATGCCTTTGCAGAGTGCTTCTGTGGATAGCGCTGCTCCAGGCAGTCAAGCAATGCGATGTAGTAGAAAAACCGCTTATAGCGAAAGCAGCCCAATAATTAACATGGACTTTTAAAACATTTAAGCTCTTTAACGGTGTAATTTTTCGTGTATCATCTCATGCACAAGATACAAGTAGAATGGAAACGTTTGCCAATTAACAGCAAAATTTTCTTTCATCATTCACAAGCATAGAAAACGTGTAAAATATTTTCGTACAATAGGTGTTGCAATGTTTGCTCATTAATTATGTCCAATTGGCTTTTCCACAGTGGCACAGTATGCATGAAATTGAAGTGTTATATTGAATGGTTCACACTGAAAACTTGCACCGTTAACAGCGCTTTTGCACATGAACGTATTTTCGTGTACCTAGCTGGACAGACAAATATTTTAATCTATAAATACCAAATAGTAAAATAACAAATAAAGTGTCGGGCAAAGTTCTAAACGAATGTTGTCGATTCAAAGGTTTTAGCATCACCATTTTCCATAACGATATCTGCCGTCTTATTTTCCATAGGACAATCAGGATCTTCTTTCTTCTGTTGCTCTGCTATTAGCATGTGTTTATCCATTTGATCAACGGCCAAGAAGTACAGGAACATCACCATCAAAGAATCCGAAACCAGGCTGCCAGGAATATTACCATCTTCTCTTATCGAAGAGCGTATTCCAACCACGTAAGCAAAGAACCCGCAGAGCACAGCCCAACCTACATACGCCAAACCAGAGTCCACAACCTGAAGAATTTCAAACAAAATCCAACCATAAAACAACACTGCCATGATCAACATGTAGGACCAACTACTTTTGTTGTACACTTTACCAGCTGCACGACCGGCCGGCCACCACGGTGCCAGAACAGCAACAAGAAATCTCTCCAGCCCATGAATAGATGGATTGTCAAACACATCAAAAAGACTAACGGCAAAGGTTTCTGCATTAGGATCAATATCCCCAGCTTCTTCCTTAACACATTGCCAAATGGAAACACACATAAAGAGAAGAATTGCAAGATACGGTAACCCAGCTGCAATTGCCACAGTTTGCAACGCAGTGAGAGCCGCTTTACCACCGGCCTTCAGTAAAGCTGTCGCACATGCCCCTTCGGTCAACGCCCAAAAGATGCGTTGGACTACAGGAGGCTCTGGGTTACCATTTGCAGATAAACAATCAATGACCAGGGAGCCACTGTCTGAACTGGTTACGAAATACAGCACGATACCAATAACAGTGATTACATTAAGTACATAGCCAAGGTTGTCACCATACTGCTCAAGCAAATCGAAAAACTGTTGGGTGTCTTTTCGACACGACAACTGGTACAACTTATTGCCTTCAACTTCGACATACGGAGAGACAGAACAGTTTACTCCAGCATTGATAGCATCTCGTTCCATCTTAAGTCCAGCACCTCCGAATATGCAAAACCACATGAAAATGTAGATAACGGGAGCGGTGAGAGTTGCATTCAGGAAATTTCGTATTGTTCGGCCGCGTGAGATCTTGGCAATAAACATCCCGACGAACGGACAGAAGGCGACCCACCAACCCCAATAGAAGATTGTCCAAGAATCCATCCATTGTTGTGCTTCACGACCATCAGGGGCATTACCCAGCTGTGCAAACGCTTCGGTGTGGAAGGCAAGCTGAACAAGTGATTGTAAGTAGTATCCAAGACTTTGAACGTACAGGTTGAGGAGAAACCAACTATCGTCGTGGAAGAAGACAAATAACATCAGGAACATACCGAGGCAAAAGCACAGTTCACTTAGTCGACGTATACCAACTTTAAGGCCAGAAACGACTGAAATAGTCGCAACAACCGTCACGCCCCATATTATAATTATCTGATTTGTGGTTGATTCCGATATGTTACTGTTCAAGCGATTGAGACCAGCGTTCAGGGACATGACGCCGAAGCCCAAACTTGTACAAACACCGAACATTGTGGACACAACGGAGAAGATATCGATCATATCACCAAAATATCCAAAAATTCTGTCACCCACCAAGGGATAGAAGCAAGATCGAATGGTCATTGGAAGTCCTTTCCTGTACGTCACGATGGACATGAGCAAGCCGGTGACTGAATAGACAACCCATCCATGGAAGCCCCAGTGATAAAATGTAAGATTCATAGCATCTTGAGCTTTTTGATTGTCCGAATATCTTAAGGGAAATAAGTTGTTTATATTAAACTGAGTAAAAAAAATGTTTCTTACGTTTCAGCACTCCCCGAATGAACTTTTTTCACTTTGTTATCGGTTTGCCAAGTTTAGACTAAGCAATAATGAGTACTTATTAATAAATCATCTTAATTAGATGGTACAGCATTGTCTGAATGTTGTCTGCAACAGCCAATACTAAGTGAAAAAAGTTTACTGTATAGTAGTACTGTACGTAGCAAAGATATGAAAAAACAAGACTACTTCTATTGTACAGTACATAACACAATAGATCTTTCCGGTAATTACGTCACAACTACACTGTTTTCAACTTAGGACCACCTTAAATAGAATAGATTTCAAGTTTGTTTCTCACTGGCTATGGTCAGAGAAGCAGAACATCCTTCGTCAACACATGCATAAAAAAGAATTTTGGATTTTGACTATTAAATGTGGAAATTATATAAAAGGGGCCATCCCCTCTGGCTCGTTTTCGTGTTTAAGCTTATTTCCACATTTATTGGTCAAAATCCAAAATTCTTTTTTATGCATGTGTTGAAGAAGGATGTTCTGCTCCTCTAACCGTAGCCCGCGAGAAACAAACTTAAAATCCATTCCATTAAGGTGGTCCTAAGTTGAAAACAGTGTTAGTCGTGACGTAATTACCGGAAAGGTCTATTGAGAAACAACGTAGCACTGACAGGACACATTGAATTGGCATGTTGCTTTGTGCAGTATGTACCACGGTTTAAAGCTCATATAATTAAGAGCAACGGATTTATGCGCTGATACTACAAAACGTCTGGAGTACAAAAACAAAACCATGCTCAGAATTTATAAATCAAAATCGAAACGACAAAGTTCCAATAAATTTCCTCGTACAGTATAAATCGATTTTTTTAACCTAATCCAACACAAAAAATTCAGTTAAGTCATTTCTTCACTTTTCCGTCACAAATACGGGGAAATTTACCCAGAACTGTATCATTTTAAATATCAAGACTACCTAACAGTTTTGCGAGACGACTCCCGAAAACGAGGATAAAATCTCTTGTTAAAAAATAAACCACTATTTCCTGGTATTAAAAATTCTAGTTAAAGAAGAGTTGCTTCAAACCGTGCACACCACAATCATTACACAAGGAACACGTCAATTTCATGCTGTGCCAACAACAACAAGAGTGAAACTTTGTCTGCAAAATAGATGTGATATACAGAGTATTGCATGACAAAGCGTGAATTAGTAATGTAAATTTTAAAACAATTTCTAGATCGGTAAAATTGTAATAATAAACATCTAAAACGAGCAAGATGCATGCATGGCAGCAATAAGTTTCAAATTCAAGAATTTTACTGTCACACTATGCGACTGACTAATCAAATTTTCTTACACGCTTTGTTGAAATTATGTTTAAACCAAGGGGAAGAGTTGGCGCAATATTTCTACATATCACATCTACCTGAGCAGCTAATTAACCACCGAACTACATTAAGATCCACTTAAATACTATAGCACAAGTTTGTCATAGTCACATGTACCTTGTCTTTAATTGGTCTATTGAATGGAATTCCCGACTAGGAAAATCCTATCAAATTTCGTACCGAGAATGCATGGATGATGTTCAAATTCAAAAACATATGGTATTGTGCAATTGGTTCAATGTGTTTCTTTTGCATGCTATTGAATCGAAACGAATGTGCAAACAATGGTCTCTAATGTACACCAGTTCTCCATTCCAAGCACGAAATTTGATAAGATTTTAATATGTTTCTACATTGTCAAGAAGCCCGACCTGATAAAATAAAAAAAAGCACCGTCAGTATACCCGAAAACATTCATAAAATCAAATTTCATCAATTGCCTTTGCAATTGCACAATACTAATTTAATTTACGGAAAATATCAAACATTAATTTACAACATATTAGTGATTAGCTTGCTAGTAACAATTTGCAACATCGATAAAACCAAAACAATGGTTATGTTTATCGGATTTCCACAAAATGTCTGTGATTATCCTGTTATTTTGAATAATAAACCAGTATGAACTCGATTCGGTTGTTTAATAATTGCCTTGGAATTCAACTTCAAAAAACTTTTACGTTAATCCTGAAAGCGAGTTAAACCTTTTGTCCCATGAAGTGTAATTAATAACCATTTACAATTCTTTAACACTGCCATATTTTGTTTGTGTGCCTCTTTGGAAAAATTGTGGAAAGCTGCTCAAAAACTATATATTTTGGCCATTTCAACACAAGACAGTTTCAAGATAAGTACAGTAGTCAAAAATTACATAAAAGTATCCATATGTACTAATAATTAATCAAGATTGGTTGGTTGCTCATCAAATATCAAATTTGAAGTTAGGTTGTAGACAGTCTACCTAAACTACTGTATTTGCCTCAACACATACCGATGATACCATGCATCTGCAATGTGTTGACAAGTCAACAGGAAGAAACCACAGAAGAGATTCTATCGTGTGCATTTACAGGATATGTGGAGTGCAGAAAATGCAATTTAGGAGCAGCTTTAAAAAATGGCCCGAAAAAATATGGAGGGTATTCAGGACTTCAGGTCTGAGGGTTCCCAAAAAACTTCCAGGATTAAACATACTAAATATTATATTATACCATTATTATTATATTATAGGCATACAATCAACCAATGTATTAAATACATCAGTAACTTGTTTTTGAAAGTGGCATCATTCTCCAAACAATATCGGACGGGATCCATATTTTGGATGTGGGATGTTAGGTAGCCTGTGGTGAGAGGAACTGTGAAAAAAGTCTAAGAGCAGTGGAATGGTATATACAAGTCAGCCATTCTATTTACAGTATTCTAATTTATTTTTCCATGTCTGTTGTAAAAATTTTGTATTATAGTTGAAGCCATATCCAGGTTTATGATTAACAAGAATGCCCCCACTAGTCAATACTAGATCATGTGATATTTTTTTTGAGAAATTTGCGGTGTACTTTATGCACGCAACATTTATATGCCACACTATGTTGTAAACTGTATTGAAAAATATTTTAAGCATTCTTTTCAGTTAAACTAGACTAAAAATTTTGAATCATATATGTTCTCTAGATGTGACAATCCACTGTGTAAAGTTCATAATTCATGCAAGTAAGATCTCAGGCTCACAATTTCCAAACTTTCCAGATGTATTATTATGACCCCATCATGCCAGAGTGTCACTTTTACACATGCTGGTACAATTTTCTGTTTTTGAATTTTCATTCATTTCCAGTACAATGGGTCTTTCCTGAATTTAACATTCATACCACCCACCTTTGGAAGTCCTAATACACTTACTACATAAGAAACAATTTTTTCTCCATTCCACATACAGGAAGGCAGAAATTTTCTCTGTGGGAGGTGTGGATCTTTTCCAGAACAACCCAGTAGTGTAAAGTGATGTGGTGCTACTCAAGGTTTAAAAAAGCGTCAAAGTCTTGGAACAAAATGGTATATACCTTGGAAAAAACTGGTAAGCTTTGGTTTGTGAAAGTTTGAACGCTCTTTTTTGTATTATAATGGTTGTAATGTACATGAATGGCTATAATGCCCTTGATAATGCCCATCAAGGTCACTGCCTAAGAAGGCATGCAGGGGCAGGATGAGAAACTAATAAGCAACAGACAGTGATATAAACTCAAACAATCTGTGCTAGTGTAGGTAGTGACAAAAACACCAGAGAAATGCAAACGGGTAGGGAGGGATTCAACTATCTGAAACAGGCCTCGAATTTCACTGAAATCAATCGACGGCAATGGCGTTAAAAATTGCCATGGACCGTAAAAGCTGTCTACGGCAATTTTGGCAGTTTCCACAGCATTTTTTCAAATTAATAAAAATTTAAGTTTATTGTTACTTTGGATTGTTGACAAGCTAGAAACATGTTTACGTATTTCTTTAAGTGGGTTTTTTTCGAAGAACAAATTGAGACTAAAATAGTAATTTACGCATGCTTTGATCAACATCTGAATTCAAATATCAAAATAGCAGGGGTTTCAGAATGATTTGAAGTAGGCGGTTGTACCAAAAAAGTATCCGGCTGTGACTGATAGTTAAAAAAACGCGCAGGGAGGGGGGCGTGCCCTCGCATGGAAATTTTAAAAATTTTCGCGCGCAAATTAACAATCAGATAATATAGAATAAATAAAAAGATAAAGTACAACTGTTCACTTGTTACATACTTACATTTAGATGTCATTTGCATTTATACTTGTAAGTGACAATGTACTTTAATGTTTTACTTGTAGTTTAATCACAAAGGTGTTTGTTGTCCGGAAAATGAAGATGCAATTTACAAACAAAAATATGCATATTCTATGCACAGGCGAAGGCGTATTTAACTATATATTGCATGGAGAAGTTGCAGGAAAGTATGGGTAATATAATTCTTTGCAGTTTGTCATGGATAATGTAGCCGCTTAAAATTAATCAATTGTCAGTATTTTAAAGGTATATTATTTAAATGATAAAGGTATGCATGCATATTTACCGATTTACGATTTGTTAAATGTTAATATCCATGTAAATGCCATGATTTCATAAATCAGTTTATACTAACAATACAATTATATTATATTTTCTCTGTTTAACAACTAAAATTTTGTTATACTATTATTGCCGTAATTTTCCGAATGGCCAACCCGTTTTTCCGAATATGTTAATTCTAAAAAAGTTGGGGGAGGGGGGTAACCCCCCCCCCTCGCTATGGCCCACAGTTTTTCACTTTATCATAATTAATTCGTTGTCAAAGAATTAGTCACTTGCCAAAAACATTTACCAAAGTGGCTCTGAAGGTTCTCTGGCTCACTGTCAAATTTGGATTCCCCAATGGCAATGCTTAAGTCACTGTCAGAGCCAATCAGAGTTATCTTCCAGGAAGATTCACTTCGACACCAACTTAGAAAGCAAGCTATGTTTGGTACTATATATTATTGATCTTATTGATCTTCCAAAACAAGTGATGTTTTGCTTGAATTCCAATTGGAACATAACAAACATCGTGTTGGTTCGCTTGTACCTTTGTATATAATTTTTTTCCTGTGACCAGACGAAAAGTAGCCGGCGGTAAAAGTTCAAGTAGCCGGCGGAACTCCACCAGCCGCCGGCTTATTCTGAAACCCCTGAAATAGTAATGTACAGTGAATAGTATAAAAATTACACTATACGGCAAAAAATTGCAGTTGTTGCCGCAATAATCCACGGCATTTCAGGGTTAGAATTAATTCTGAAAAAATGGTTCGTGAATTAATTTTTTTATTTTAAGGAAATTTTAAGGAATTTTCTCTAATTGGAAGTTAAAAAGTGGAAGCACTGCAATTTTCAATTATTTCAAATACATCGCAAACTCGCAAAAAAATAGAATTTTGGGTGGAATTATAATCGTTTTTAAGTACAATCTAACAACAATATCTTCAGAATATACGATTCTTCATCACATTTACAAAGAAATGAATTTATTATTGTATTTTTTTTTATCAATTTGAGTTCTATGAAATTGGGTTCGTGAAAAATGAAAATTGATTCGTGATTCACGAACAGTTATTTCGAACCCTGCATTTTGTTCTCCCTCTACAGCAATTGCCACGATAAAATTCAAGCCTTGATCTGAAAAATACAAGTAAAACTTCAAAGTTTCAAGAGAAGGCCTTTCATCAAGAAGTAGAAGGGCCTTCATTCAAAACGTCAAAGTTTTACTTGTATTTTGCAGGTAGTTGAATCCCTATCCATCTGCAACAAACAGTGGCCTAAGTGGAAAATAAAGACCCTTATGCTTTTGAATATGAACCAACCCTCAAAATTCGCCTCAGCACTTGGGAGGTAGGATTTTCATAGTTTCCTTGGCAAAAAAATGCTGAGGCAATTCCACCTGTTATATCTTAAATTTACAAACTGCAGCATCTGTCCGGTTTTTGCTTAAAATTTACAAACTATGGTGTATGTTCATTGTTTGCTTTATCTAAACCACTTCAATAATTTGAAATTCAAATCTGTAAGTCAAAATTAGCACGGCCTATAGCTACAATGTTAGAAAATAATTGTAGGCAAGGAAAATTTCTCAATTCTGCAAATTCACTCCTTGTCGTAATATGTCGCTGGATACATCATAACATAACGTTTGATGTCATATCGTATCATCTACACTCGTTATAATATTCTTTTATAATAACCGAAGGAATTTAAGGTGATTTCATTGTAATACAGGGATTCTTTGTTTAACCAAAATAGTTTGCATTACACCGCAGCCAGTGTGGAAAATTTGTATTTGGATTTCTCCCCCGCGCACTTTTGATGCTTTCTATATATTTACTATTAATTTTCCAGTCAGGCACCGCAGTTGCCCTACTTTATTATTTACTCTGTCTAATGCCAGACGATATTTCATGTCAAGGAGAGAGCACTAGGGCTCAATGGGTTAACTGGGGTCTGAATGTGGCAGGCTAAAATAAGTGAATTTTGCAATTGTTGGTTTTCTCCCTTCTGGCTAACACCTTAAATACCATTATACCATATTAGGTCAGGACATTGGAATACAAGTTCTAATATTTCAACATAAGGAATGAATCATCTATCAATGGCTTAAGGACTGACACGCCATGCGGGAAGTGCATTTTAAAGATAAACATAAAAGCCCTGCAAATCACTTTCAGGAACAAGAAAAATGAGACGTAATAAAAAAGAACAAAATCTAGTTGCTGACGCTTTTATTGTACGCTTCAATGACTTGTTTTTTATAACTGAGAAAAGCTTTATTATTTACCTTCCCGCAAAAATGCTTAATAAATTAACACAAATATAAAATGTACTTCGACTCAAATTGAAACAGACTTGGAAAACAGAAAGCGAACGTTTGAATAATCAAAAAGACAAAGAAAAGCGAAATGTACGTGTGATATAAATCACTTATTACCGCATGTGATAATTAAACAAAACAACATAATTGCAGCCTCATGTCTCTCCCTAAACGAAGGGACGGAAGCCCCCAGAAGGGGCATCTGTTATCAATAAATGCTCAGAATACTCGCAGTTTACTGGGAAAAACCAAGTGAAAATACCACTCTAGGCTTAAAAAACAGATTTCGAAACTTTTTAAGATCTAGGCTAAAATATTAAAACGCTAAAACAACGGGTACAAAGTACAAACAAATAAATGAATCAACAGTCAAGCACGCGTCAACAGGCAAGGCGTGTTGTAGAAAATATATAAATTCGTACAGTTCAGAAATAAGCAGTTAATTTGGACTGACACATAACTATGATGAAAAAGCAATAAAAAGGCCTTACATACCTTCCCCAATAACGATTTCCGTATTTTTTACCCGGTGCATAATGCGAGATTGGTTCGGACACACTGAAGTAGAATAAGCCAATACCGATACCAGCGGCAAACAACATTGTGAAATACGAGCCATCGCTAAATTCAGGTTTCTCGTCGTCTTTACCCAGCTTAAGGTCGCCGTATTTCGAGAAATACAGATAGAGGAGAAAGATAATGAGTATGTTCACAGAACTGACGTAGAACCACGTGAAGGTAGCTGTAATCCATGTCTTGATTTTTCCCATATGAAAACTGGCGCCATCAGGATCGCTAACACACCACGCCACGAAGCCCCAAATTATTACGGCTGAAAGAATGGTCACGACTGGGTTGAAATTCAGTCGTATTGGGCCAAGTTTGACCTTAAAAGTATGACAACGATCACATCTAGGATCCCTTTCCATTATTCGTTTTATTGTAACAGATTCTCAGTGCTGAACTTTATACTTCGGACTTTATACTTCGGACTCCAACTTCTTCTGACTCCGGGATTTTATAAAGAGTCCGGATACCCGCACTTGGGCTATACCGCCCACAATGACGCAGCGTTTCCGATTGGTCAGTAACTGCTGCGTGGCAATCACGTGCAAGCGTGGTCTCAAGAGGCTAATGAATACAGTGCTTCCATTCTCAGATTTTGATTTTCTGTATATCGAAAAGAAAATTTCCATATTTGAAATGAAATTTCCATAGATAGTGTGCCAAAATTTCCATAGAATTTTCTACAATTATTGTATTTTAATTCCTCATTAATAATGAGTAGTTTTTAAACAACAAGAACAAAATAGGTAATTTTTATTGTTTTAAACTTTAATGATGCTTTAAACTATATAATTTAAGTCACAGTCCATTTTAAATGTATCTGGATTGAAGTAGGTCACCAATACTGCCAGCTGATTCTTACGTGAACGATCTGTTGTCTCATCAATGATCAATGAAAATTTTCGAGACTTCAGACCATTAATGGAGTCCTTTTGGGTATTGAATCCCAGAACCTGGCGAATAACATTTGTCGCTTTCTGCTTTCCCAATGTTGCTTTTTGAACTGTCTTATTCGATGGAAATAAGCTGGACAGTAGGGCTAAGAGATCATCACTTAAATGGATGGGCAGATTATGTTCAACAATAAAGCTACATAGTTTTATTTCTAGTTTGGCCACAGACCGTTGTCTGTTGCACCTAACAATTCTCCAATATTTAAATGCGATTTCCTTAGTTAAGCAGTCATCTTACTTGCCTCTGTGTGTCCTTTACCTTTCATATGTCTTGTAAGAGCAGTTTTGGAACAGGAAAGTTTTACCTTACATACCTTGCAGTATTACTGCACGGTACACTACTGCCATTTGTCCCCTTTGTCTCCTGAATCCCATCCCTTGAAATTCGCATTGGAAAGTCAAGTATTACAAAACTTCTGTTCATACGTTCGTTTTTTCTTTCCCTTTTGTTTACTCTGTTGCTTTTTGAGCTCATTATCTGTATTTTCTTCACTTGAGGAGTCGCTTTCACACTCCATTGCGTCCATTCTTGTTTTCGCCCCAAATCCATTAATCCCACTTTAATCCACGCTCGACGTCATAACATCCCTTTATATTACTTAATATCCTCAATTATCCTATATGTTCCATGCTCCTAGCCGCTCCTAATGACCAATACTAGCCTGTTACTATGTTATGCAATCGTAATTCGTAATTCAAAAATCAAATTTTATACTGAATTTTAAAAAGTCTATTTGGGTAAATCTTAAATTATAGCAATCAAGTTCGAATTTCCATAGAATTTCCACATTTATTTTGTTTCCATAGAAGTTTCCTTTTCACACTAAAATTTCCATAAAATATGGAATATTCCATAGAAGTGGAAGCACTGAATGAATAATAAATGATGCCATATGGCCCGTGGGCATTATGTTTCGAAATCACAATCATTCATTTATTGAAGCGAATATAGAAAAGTACATACATTAGTGCTGAGTACATTATTTATTGATATCACATACTCGATTTACAGCAATTTTATATTAATATTAAAAATATGAATGATGCCAATGACGCCGGAAAGTAACTTTCCCGCGAAATCCGGGTAAAACCCAATCAAAACATTCGCATGCGTCAGCTCATGCACGGGCGAGGGTTCATTTTTTATCGCCTCTGGAGTCTGGGTGACTGGGTCTCTCCTCTGTTGCCTGGCATGCGTATAGCTGTTGGTTTTAAGGGACATCATGTACAGGGGGGGTGAAGCACGAGCAGCAATAAATAAGGAAGGCGAGATTGTTTTACTTCATTACTCCTACGTTCCTCTCTCGCATACCCAAGCGTCTCGAGGCTTCCAATCAGTCTTTCCCAACAAATTTATGTTTCCCCCAAAAAATTTAAAAACGCTTTGTCACAAAGGTCCATAAAGTTTCATCATATTCATAGCGTGTTAAGATTTAAATTCAGTATATTTTAAATGGGTCTCGTTTACTTAACCTTAGCCTAGGTATTAAAGAAAAATAGGGCTTACTGAATACTGAATTGTAAAATATACTGGCAAGCTCTAAGTCGACTAAACTCGATCCGGTTTGTATTTTGACCAAAAATAACACGTTTCACGAGCGGCATATTTCAACTGTTTCTAGCACTTTCTACAGCAGCATTAATCGTTCTTCGGAACTAAGCAAATTAAATTAAAATTGCTATACTGAACAGATATATTTCGTACGTACAGTGGCCACAGTGGTGTGCCCAGCCTTAGCCAGTAAGGAGTGGGGGCGCGAAGCTTTTAAGGGGGCGACGAAACGACATGAAATAAAACCAAGACTGTCAATCAGTCTACTTAAAGTTAAAATCCTGTCAAATGTGAAATTGAGAAAAGGATCAGGAAATGAGCCGACGCGTCAGTACGCTCCCAAAGGCAAAGTTGATCAAATTTGAATATTTTGATTCCGAAAATTGTCACTTGATAATTCGAATATTGCGAGTGAACAGGCTGAGAAAGCTAACACCTTTTACACCAATCAGATGACCATAGCCATAGGTCAGTATCAGGTATAGCAGACATCCTAATAAACGCTTTCCAAATAATCTTAAGATACTCAATAGCGGTTGCTACGAAACACGTACAATGTCAATGTTATGAAATGTGCTGTATATTGGATCAATACTTAGTCTTCGGCCTGTTTCAAACGTCGCGCTTCTCATCAGGGGCGAAACTAGCCCCTTTTAATTGGGGGGTTGTCTGCTAGAATTGCCCTGCGAAAGCCGATGATGCCCTGCAGCCAAAAAATTTTTTGGCCACTATTTCTCCTAATAATGTTGGCGAGGGGGGGGGGGATCGTGGTCGAAAAAAATTTTTTCGGACATTTAAAAAAGGGGCGAAAAAAATTTTCCGGACATAAACCAATTAAATTAAGGGTCAAAAAATTTTTTTCGGACAAATCCCTGTTTTTAAACATGCATGAAACCCTTATTTTTTTACCAATATCTGTAAAATTTAGGTCTATAAATTCTATTCAATTCCCTCCGGAAGCCCTGGAAGCTACTTAATAACTCTACATTCTATCATTTAAAATCTTTCATTGCCCTGCCAATCCAGATGATTTGCTCTGCCAATCCAGATGATTTGTACTTGGGGGGGGGGGGGTCACACCCCCACACCCCCCTCATGTTTCGACACTGCTTCTCATGTGCCAAACTCATTAGAAACCGCGGCAATAGATAACTGATGAGGCATTTCAACGGATTGTCTATTGTTTTTAATGCGTTTGGCACATGAGAACTGGCAAGGTTTGAGCCGTTTACACTATACCGGATACTCGTAGCGGCGCGAACTGAAAAACATCTATCTGATGCGGAATCACAACTTTCAGAAGCTGAGCGAAATAGCATCTTTCCGTTGAAATAATTCATCCAAAAATAGTGTTCCTAAAAGGTACGAATAGGTGTTCTTCACGTCGCTATACGAAAAGCTATCCGCCCGGTACTGTGAAGCAGAGGCGAAACTAGCTCTTTTAATTCGGGGGGGGAGGGGGAGGGGGGTGCCAGAATTGCCCTGCCAAAACCAATGATGCTCTCCAGCAAATTTTTATTTCTGGCCACAATTTTTCCCAAAAATGTTGAAAAAATTTTTTCAGGACATTAGAAAAAAGGGTCAAAAAAATTTTTCCGTACAAAATCCTGGTAAAACGTGGGTGAAATCCTTATTTTTGTACCAATATCTGTAAAATTTTGGTCTATTAATTCTATCAATTCCCTCTGAAAGCCTTGTAAGTTACTTCATAACTCTACATTCTATCATTTAAAACCTTTGATTGCCCTGCCAATCCAGATGATTCGCCCTGCCAATCCAGATGATTCGTATTTGGGGGTGTCGCCCCCCCCCCATACCCCCTCAACTTTCGCCCCTGGGTACAAGTGTAAACGAAGCCCGCTGAAACACGCCTGGCTTAGCCATCTTATTCGTAGCGACGTGAAAAAACACCTACTGTATATGATTATCCGTACCTTTATTTTATGGAACACTATTTATGGAGGAATTATTGGAACGGAGAGATGTTGTTTCGCTCAGCTTCTGAAAGTCGTGCATTCCGTACTGGATAGGTGCTTTTCCGCGCCGCTATGGAATGCTATCCTGTACTATTAGCTAGTGTATCGGTGTAACGCAGCCTTCTAAATAGGCAATTCCAGCTTTTAGTGCAGGGGATGAAGGGAAGTAAGGTATCGTATTGCCGATTATGCTGAAATATTTCAATAAAAACTACCGAAACAACCAAAATATTTCAATATTTACAAGTATAAGCTATCAGTCCGTGTTTACACGGCCACTATTTTTATATTTTCAGCATGGCATAATCAGCAATGTGATACCTTACTTCCCATCATCCCCTGCACGCATAAACTAAAAGCTGGAATTGCCTATTCTTATATGACTATTTTTCATCGGCCAACACGATAAGTGCGGACCTGCACGGTTCAATATGAACGAGAAACGCATTCATCTTACTGTTGTTCGAATTAAACCTAATGATATAATGCTTATAATGCTTATAATTGATGTTAAAACAGCAAAAACAAATAAGTCATCAGTTGTTATAATATCTGTTCGTTTTTCATCATGATTGACTGCATGATTAAGTTATGCATGCCTATGGATGATTGGGCGTGAAACGACTGGGACTGGCCTTCAAGTTTGGCTTCAACTTTCCAGTTGGAGGTAACGTTCCAGCCTCCGTTCCTGTTGTATTCATTTCACTGGTTTGGACAGATGCCCTGACTACCTATTACTTTGTTAAACTTGAAAATTATTGTACTTCGTCGCATGAGCAAGGTGGTTAAATGTCTGCCTCGTTCCCCAGTTGCGCTTCTCCAATAGAGATCAGTGCCTCGATGGAGATCCGATGGGAGAACAATGATAACGGACGCGCGGGGACAAATGGGAATGGGATATCAAGCGCGATAATCAGCCAACCTCGTTCCCAGGCTCTTTCCAAAGAGCCTGGAAACGAGGTTGGATAATTAGCGACTTTGAGGGACAGCGCGTTGAAAGAGTCGGTTAAAATGCCTGCGTGGGATATTGCGAAATGGGATTTCCAATTTTTTAGTTCTAAATTCCATTTGACTTTTCATTGAAAAATTGGTAATACGACACTTCGTATCACAGTAACAAGTACCGACAAGTTCTGCCAACTGGTGTGAGACACAGTCACACAGAGCAATTGGTCTGTACTAGTCTACTAGAAGAAATGACTAGTTTGACGTTAATACTAATCGTGGCTACGCCATCGGAGTCCGACTATATGAGCAATGAAATCTGTGCCATTTCAGCTCTGGAAGCACGTGTTGGCATTGATCAGTAGCAGATAGCAATAGCAATGCCAGCTAAAAATGTTTGGCAAGGTGTTCTGTTATGACAATAAATAAATTAAGGTGCGATATATTCAGGGGGTAAGTGAGCAAAAATTTTCAGAACATCACTAATCAACATCTGCCAACTCTATTTTACCTCTACTACTCTACTTTACAACATCTGCCAACTCAATTTGCCGAACATTTCACGCTTGTTCCCAGGCTTTTCCCTTGGGTTTATACGCCCCTGGTTATACTGAGTATAAAATGTCTTATTGTTATACCTTACGCTATTTATATTCGGTTGATGAGCAGTGCAAAGCTGGATTTTCGATGATACACTGAGTGAGTATTTTTACCTGTTGAGTGCGGCGAAATACTCTGAAACAAGCGGGTACGAAGATTTTGGGATTTCAAAACACCTGGGGGATTTTCAGATTTTAAGCGAGATTTTCAGCGGTTTAGAAAGGATTTTTTTATTTTGAAAAGGATTTTGCACGAGATTTTGAGATATTTAGCTATTTTGTGTAGTATGACATTTGAATCAGATGCCAAACTATTTTTCAAGTTTCTACTATACGGTATTTTTTATGCTATTATTATTAATTAATATCAAAATGTTAACACAATTTTAGGTTTAGTATAAATATAGAATAAAATGAGAACTAGCTACCATAAAAAATACACTGTGTTCAAATAAATCAAGATAATAAATCATTAATAAATCATTATAATTTGCCAGAAAAACCGCTGATGCGCACAGTTAAAAATTCTGTACGTGATTGTACGTGACTAAAAAGGTGGTCGAACATACGTGATACGTGACTGAATAAGCATTTAGTCTATTTGCGTTTTGTTGTACATGTCTGAAAACGTGACGACGTGACGGAACGGACAAGCCAAGTCAATTTTTTTTGCCATAAACAAAAGAAAATTACAAAAATTGATAGCTATAATGTACCATGCAGCCAGTTAAAAGCTAGCAAGGAAGCCCAAGAGAAACCAAAAGGAGCCGGTAGCAAGTACTAAAGTCGATTATACAATTGTAAAGTAATATTGAAAGCATAATGAGTAATATAATTAAGGGGGGAGTACACCTGAAAAATAGGGTGATATAAAATGTTTTATATTTGCACAAGGTTACATCCAAACCCCCACAAACTATATATTAGTAGAAAGCTAAGAACCTGGAGATTCAGAAAAAAAATATTTGAAACAGTGAAAAGCTGTATTAAGGTGGCTCTGCACCGTTCATCAAATTTTCGGTTTAGCTTTATTCAAGAAAAGATTGCACTAGCTGTGTATTATGAAATTTGATTATTTATACATTTTTTAAATACTTACATAGGGATTATTGTTTTAAGCATAGAGAATTTTGATTGACAAAAAAGAAAAAAAGTTATGGTTTGGGAAGTTAGGCGTCAAATTTTTAAAAGGTAAAAATTGTAGTAACTTTTGATATTTTTACTCAATCAAAAATCTCTATATGCTTAAAACACAAAGCTAAGTGAGAGGAGCATTCTCTGAAAATTTCAGTGCAATCCAATAAATTGTTATCGAGATATCTTTTCTCAAAGTCTAAAATATCCGAAAACGAGAAAAACGAGTTTAAAGTCTCTTGTATCGAAAACACTTGATTTTTCATACATTTTGAAAATCTTAAGCCTGGATAATTTAAATCCTACCATTTACTTGGTGTTTTAAAAAGTTTTGTTACAGTTTAAAATCCTCTAGCCTCTTTATGTCACTCCTTCAGCTTCCCAAATAGCTTCTTCCCGTTGCGTTCAAATCAGTTTCTCTCCTTGGCATTGTTTCTTCTCTTTTTCAGTTGCCTGTAAATCAGATTTCTTCATTTGCGATATCTTGCATCACAAGCTTGTTTTGTTTTACCCCCAGCGTGAATGGACAGCCGTTTCATAACACCAAGTCGACTCTTTGCTCCAATATGGAAGTGGGGGAATAGCGGCAGCTACTGGACATCGCACTGCATTGCGGCCATGTTGTTTATGCTTTAGATACCTAGCCCAAGCTAGAGCATTCAAACTGCCATTTTGGTTTTCAGTTGTGCCAAGAACACACCTTTGAAGCAACTGTGTTTGACTAAGAGAAATGACCAACACGTCCACTTTCATCTTCTTCCAAAGTTAAATTTCCTAACGAAATGTTCATTAACATTTTTAAAACTATTGACACATATATGTACTGTATATTGTAACTGTTTACATGTTACACAACAAATATATAACTTTTGTTGCAGAATAGATATAAAAGGGGTTTGCAGGAGTACAATTTAAACCATATGTTATATTAAACCAATTTTGAAGGATAAGGTATAAAACACAAAGGGCAAATTCTTACCTTCCTCACACATGTGTTGAATATTTGAGTTGCATAATTGGATTGGCAGCCAAACTGATCAGCCTGCATTCGGGGATATTTTCTTCGGTGTAATTATCACTATTGTCATTTCTGATTTCACATCGTAATTTTCTTGAAGTTCCAATAACATTATTTTGGTTTGAGCCATCAACATTGTCTATTTGGAGATTCACACGTGGGATCGTCATTACTCATATTTTGATCTCGTGTTGAGTCACGATCTTGGTGTCTTTGCTTACCAGAAAACCTCTTTCTCTTCCTTTTTCGCTTGTATTAAGAAGATCTACTCTTCGTACCGGTCATTGTTATAATTTGAAGAAAAGAGATACATTTCTTGGCCCTCGATTCGCATTGTTTTTTGCTTCAACATGCATCGACGTACACAATTCATTGCATCAACAAATATCAGACTCAAATTCAAACAGGAGCCCGCGATGTAATAGCAATGCAGGTACGTCATGTACCACAATATATAGTGTACTTGCTATACACATGCTAATTTGGGCAGTTTCAGCCGAACAATGGGCAAAAAACCGTCAAAAAACAAAAAATGCTGTTACCGTTGCCATAGTAACAGAATCAGCATATTCAAACAATAATAATAAAAGCCTTCAAAATACATGAAGATGTTGGAATTTCAAAAAACTCTTTTTCCATATGTTAGTTAGGTACCTGAAGTACCTGAAAATGCAAAAAAATATTTTTTCATTTTTTCGCAAAATTTCAGGTGTACTCCCCCCTTAAGAGGTATTCTTTTATTTTTTGTGAAAGAGGAAACGGAGGAAGCATCACAAATATCGATCTTCACTGAATGAATTGAACAATTTAACTCCTTGATAAACAACCGAAAATTTTTTTTCTGTGTTGGTGTAGTGTACTCAGGTGAATATGATATTTGTGGTGTTACTCTGAGTGCATATCCACACCGGGCGAGCTTGAAAAATATGCCCGCCCACGGTGGGATTCGAACCTTACGACCTTTGGAATACTAGCCCAATGCTCTTCCAACTGAGCTACGCGGTCAGGACGGTTCCAGTAAGTGATATTTCGGAACAGTATCTAGTTCCTTCAATACCAATGTGTTCCAGTAATATGAGTTTTTCTGTGT